CAAAGACTCAATTCCTTTTCAAAAAAATATTGAAAATACACCATACAGGAGAGTTGCACAAAATAAAGTACCATTTTGCACCAGACGCCGCAAATCACACTTTTTTTTTACTCACCCTGTGTATATATATATATATATATATATATAATAAGATATATGACAGTATTATCCTTGATTTTCAATCTGCAGGGTTAAGGTTTATTTAAACAGATTTATATTTAAAAACATTATCTTTGTGTTTCGCAAATCACAAAAAATAAACATTTTCATTTTCATAAAAATTTGTTAGAATTGAAAATAATGTCAGTTGTCACCAATTTCACCAATACTTCCGCATTAGTCATTACTAATAAACATTAATTAAAAATTAAAAAACATTTTCCATTTTCACATAAAACTGTAACAAAGTTCCATTTTCAGCTAAAAAATCAAGGATATTTACGCCATCCTAGAGTAGACAAAGGTTTAAAGAATGACGATGTTAATTAGGCATGTCCGTTCTGTAATAGAGAGGACATTTGCAGATTTAGATTTTACCGGTAAAATAGTTAAAACTGATTTATATATCCATTAGTAGCCTAAAATTAGAAATTATTTAATCAAAATAAAGTTGAAACCACGGATTCAGAAATTCTAAAAATTACTTTGTTTTATGAAAAACAACTAAACAGTGATGTTTCCTGTTCAATCATCTAGAGAGAAAGGGTTTGATTGAGTTCTGTAAGGTTCTGAAAGTAAAGAAAAGAACAATGTGCTGAGTGATTATCTGAAATTAAATCTTAGTCAGCTATTAATCAACCAGCAGTTTACACTTGGATAATGAAAACAAGATTTCTTACAAATATCTTTCTTATCTAACTATCGATTTATGTTGGGTTTATACTGTTTTTTAAATATATTCTTGCTTATCTACGAAAGCATTCTTATCTCTAAATAAACCAGTAAAAATAGATATATTTGAAGTCTTTGCTTTCAAACCTTGTTTTTAGGAATCCTTCATTTTATTTATTTTTCAACGATTATTTACAACTGCTTTACAGGGAAGTGAAGTGAATTTTACTTTATTGAGGATTCCCAAGACCAATTTTGCCCTCAAAACATCCAGAGTGTAAAGAGGAACATTTTGCAGAAAAAATATGTCGAAGAAATTCGTGAATAGTAGATGTACTGTCACAAAATTTCATCTATGAAAATTTTCAAATTTTCACTCGAAAAGAGCAGTATTTTGTTTTACTTTATTGTCCCAAGGGTCAATTAGGATCAAGGGTGGTTAGTATTGTTCAAAAATTGGTGAAAATCAAACAGCTTTAAATCTGAATTCATAATCAAATTTCCAACAAAAAAATTAACATTAAATTTGTCTTTTTTTCTGTTTTATTCTAGTTTAAGATCTGTTGATGTTTTGATGTATAGTTTGATGTTCGCTATTTGTAAAATCCTTTATTCTTTTGATGAGCTCAAATAAAAATGGCCGCCAACAAATTTAAAATGCAAATTGAAAATCCCCCCAGCTCCCGGGAATCAGAGCTGAGTTTATTTAAATGTAAATATTTCCCTCAACTCCTCCTTTTAGATATTTCATCAAAAACTAAACTCAATCCTTACTAAAAGTAAAAGAATGAGTAGAAGATGTCCTATATCTGATATATAAAAGTAAAAGAAAGAATGAGAAGGAGATGTCCTATATCTGATATATAAAAGTAAAAGATAGAATGAGTAGAAGATGTCCTATATCTGATATATAAAAGTAAAAGAAAGAATGAGAAGGAGATGTCCTATATCTGATATATAAAAGTAAAAGAAAGAATGAGTAGGAGATGTCCTATATCTGATATATAAAAGTAAAAGAAAGAATGAGTAGAAGATGTTCTATATCTGATATTTAAAAGTAAAAGAAAGAATGAGAATGAGATGTCCTATATCTGATATATAAAAGTAAAAGAAAGAATGAGTAGGAGATGTCCTATATCTGATATATAAAAGTAAAAGAAAGAATGAGTAGGAGATGTCCTATATCTGATATATAAAAGTAAAAGAAAGAATGATTAGGAGATGTCCTATATCTGATATATAAAAGTAAAAGAAAGAATGATTAGGAGATGTCCTATATCTGATATATAAAAGTAAAAGAAAGAATGAGTAGAAGATGTCCTATATCTGATATATAAAAGTAAAAGAATGAGTAGTAGATGTCCTATATCTGATATATAAAAGTAAAAGAATGAGTAGGAGATGACCTATATCTGATATATAAAAGTAAAAGAATGAGTAGAAGATGTCCTATATCTGATATATAAAAGTAAAAGAAAGAATGAGTAGAAGATGTCCTATATCTGATATATAAAAGTAAAAGAAAGAATGTGTAGGAGATGTCCTATATCTGATATATAAAAGTAAAAGAAAGAATGAGTAGGAGATGTCCTATATCTGATATATAAAAGTAAAAGAAAGAATGAGAATGAGATGTCCTATATCTGATATATAAAAGTAAAAGAAAGAATGAGTAGGAGATGTCCTATATCTGATATTTAAAAGTAAAAGAAAGAATGAGAATGAGATGTCCTATATCTGATATATAAAAATAAAAGAAAGAATGAGTAGGAGATGTCCTATATCTGATATATAAAAGTAAAAGAATGAGTAGAAGATGTCCTATATCTGATATATAAAAGTAAAAGAATGAGTAGGAGATGTCCTATATCTGATATATAAAAGTAAAAGAATGAGTAGGAGATGACCTATATCTGATATATAAAAGTAAAAGAATGAGTAGAAGATGTCCTATATCTGATATATAAAAGTAAAAGAAAGAATGAGTAGAAGATGTTCTATATCTGATATATAAAAGTAAAAGAATGAGTAGTAGATGTCCTATATCTGATATATAAAAGGATTAGGTATTTGCACAGAGATCACTTTATCAACATTCTGCATTGAAATAGAGAAAAAATATAGAATAAAGGGTGAAGCTAAGTTGCACTAATTGATGAAAATGCTGAAATCCCCTGACATCATATTTAAACTTTTATTCCAGTTTAAAAATAAATTTGAGATTTTTTTAATAGTTTCAAACTCATTCAGATTTTTGCTGTTTTTTGTAAATCAAATCACTGATGTAAGAAAAAAAAAATCGTCAAAATAAATCAAAATTATAGGTAGGTATCAAAATATCTGTCTTCAAGCACTCCTAGTTCAGAAACGTTTATAGCGTCAAAACTCCTTGAAAATAAATTAAATCATAAGCCAATAACCGGGTTTTTGGAAGAGCCAGAGTATGTTTTGAAATAAAAACGATAAATAGATGATAGATGAGTTAATGGAATAATGGATATTAAAAGAATAAAAGGATAGATTGGTGAATAAATGATGAAAAAAAAGATAGATTAGCGAATGAATGGAGGATGGGTGAAAGAAAGATAAATAAATGAAAAGTGGAAAATAGCATGAAAAGGTGAAAAAATGGATAAAAGGCTAAGAGGTAAATGAACGGATGGATAGAAAGATAATGAGATGAATGAACTATGGAGGAATGAATATTTCACTAATGTATAAAGTAATCAATCATATTAAAGTCTGGGGAGAAGAAAGTTAAAGTTTGTCAGAACTCAGTCAAAACTTTCTTATGGTTCCAAACTCTTCCAAACATTGGGTCCTTGAAAGGGACTGTTAACTTTATTTAAGATGATCCTCAAATGAGAGAGTTGCATTTTGTGTCAATTCGTACTTCTTTTTATAAAAGTGACTGCGGAGACGAGTGAGAAAATTGTCAGAATTTAACACTTTTCATAAGGACAATTATCTTCGCCGTTATTACTTAAAAGGACCAAATAGTTTCTAGTACAAGAGATGGCAACGTAGAATTTGTGCACTCTCAGTACAGCTGTATCTTACGTCAACAGTTGTATGTGTCCAACAAAATTATTAATAATAGTGATAATAAAGTAGTTATCTTACAATGAAATAAGTGCAATGTTGTGTTCTTTTTTTACACTTTTTTATTTAATCTTGGAAAATATGTCAACTAATGAAATTTAGTTTCCGTTGTTATATTTGACACTTGTGACGTCATGTATAATTGGTTCATTTCTCTGCTGCCACTTATTGTACTTGATAATCTATTTCGCTAGAGGTGGTAGTTGAACTGAGAGTGTAGTATTGTAGAAACAAATTTTAGGATTTAGTTGATACTATTATCATGTTTTACGATGTATTATTGTTGAGTAAGAGCGCAAAATCGATCTTTAAATCCCCACAGATTGTCTAATTACAGGTTAACAATTTTAAGTATCGGTTTTTCAAATTTTTCAATGACGACATTAAAAAATGTGACAACAATTCTACAGTAACATAACTAGTTGTTTAGGAACAGGTTGAGAGAATAAGAATTAACTACAAGAGATAAATTTTAAACCTTGATAGATTTTCTACGGAAATTTAATTAATCAATTTTAATCAAAGTTATCAGTTAACTCCCAGCCACCATATTTTTCGCAATAAATATAAACCATAAATAGAATAGTTCAGGGTGGGGCTATGAGCCATGTGACCCACCCCCCCCCCCCCCCCAAAAAAAGGAGGAGGATTATGGTTTGCAGGGACGTTTTTGGTCGGAACTGAGAAAGTTACAAAAGGTTAATTAAGCCCGTCCCCCTGCGACACATTGCTTCATACGCCCCTGGAAGATTTATAGATGAGAAAAATGTGTATCACTTTTTTATCCATATTAACTACACTTAATAAACTGTTCAAATTTTAGAGACTTCTTGGAATAAGATTCTAACTCGAAACAATATAAATTACAGAGATTGATACTCAGCGTACTCAAAGCCTCTAAATCATATTAATAACATTTTTAAAATTGAACTTCTTAACATTGAGTTATATAATCATTAAACCGCCTTATAGAGGATTTAGTTTTATATATTAAAATAAAAGCATATCAGTTGTGAACCATCCTAAAACTATTTAACAGTTCACCAAATACCCGAGTTTTCTTTTAGGTTGAGTTCTTTGGATCGATATATTGGAGTAATTGTAAATGTAAACTGTCCTACAGGATTCCATACCCTTGGTAGTCCTACCCTCACCTGTAGAGATGACGGTAATTAGTTCAAATTAAATATAACGCCAAATGCTTACAATAAGCTTTAAATAGTGTATTCAGCTACTTTGTTTAACTTAATATTATTGTTAACGCTAAACAAGTTTATATTTAGAAATATCGAGCATCAGAAACCTTTTTATTTTATTTATCAAAATTCTCTAATTTGATTCAATCACATTTTAACATAATTAGGCATTTTTAATATAGATGAAATAGTCCTTTTCAACGTTGAAAATTCCGAAAGTCACCCATTCTGTACTCTTGAACATGCAAACAATCCCTTTAATTTTCAGGAAGTTGGTCTGATCCCCTTCCATCCTGTGTTCCTGTTACTTGTTCTCCCTTAGAGATTAGTTCACCACACCTTAGGTTAGAATACTTTCTGGTTGAGGGGACAGGGAACCATCCGTTATTCGCTTTCTGGTTAAGGGGACAGGGAACCATCCGTTATTCGCTTTCTGGTTGAGGGGACAAGGAACCATACGTTATTAACTTTCTGGTTGAGGGGACAGGGAACCATCCGTTATTCGTTTTCTGGTTGAGGGGACAGGGAACCATCCGTTATTCGCTTTCTGGTTGAGGGGACAGGGAACCATCCGTTATTCGCTTTCTTATATTCTAAAATGATTAAATAGTGTTTAATAACATCTAACTATTCAATTTTCAACCTTTCTTAATAGTACTATTTTTTGCCTTAAACTGTTCCATAGTTTTCTTAAAAAGTCTAAATTATTTTGAGACATTTTTTATATTAAACATTCCTTTGGATCATGTGACTGTAAGAATCCACAAACATGGGACTGATCAGTTCAGCTGTTTTACGTTTATTTATAAAAACAAACAATCAAACAGTTTAACAGACATGCCAACTTTTTACATGTAAACTTGTAAAGTAAACTGAATGAATAAAGTTTTTAAAAATAGATGCATTTTCTTAATATACTATACTATCTTAAACCATTTTTTCTAAGTAATTATGTTTAAACTTTGAACAAATTCTTCTATTGATAAAATTAAGCGTGAACAAAGCTGGATATTTACAAAGGCGGACACAGGGGGGTGGCGGGGGGACATTCGCCACCCCCTGACAGATTCAGGGAGGGGCGTAGCCCCCCCCTGAGATTTCGAGGCAAAAAATGTTCCCAATTTGATAAATCGTATGTGTTTTTCAATTTTTAACTATTTGATTATTTTTTATTTAATGGAAATATAATAATTAATATTTATTGAAAAATTGAATCATCAGAAGAGAAGGACGAAAAAAATATTTTTCTAGCTTGTTAAAAATAAATATAAGTTTTTAACCAATGATGTAAGTATACGACGACAGACATTGTGTTTACTGTTTTGTTTTATTGGTACGCGGCACACTGCACATCTTGAGTCTTTTCTTCAGTTTAATTTAAAAATCAACGACAACAAGTAAATGTTATTGTTAACGATAAATTTAGAATTAGAAATTCGTAAGAAACTAGTAATTTCTTTTTGTTCTTAAATTGCTAATGTTCCTATTATTGTTCCTGTTCCTAATACTGTGTCCGACCCACCTAAAATCCCTGTCCTAATCCTTTAATTTTGTTCCTAATTATCAATTTTTTTGTTCCTAAAAAATCTTGCCACCCCCTCACTTAAATCCTGTGTCCGCCCCTGGATATTTACCGTTAGAGAAAGTGACCACCAAGAAAAGGGGAGACCATGAAAGCGTAGTTTTGCAAAATAGAAAATTGTGTAAATCGCTGACAAAAATCCACTCCAAGAAACTTATCATTCTACAAAAGTACATTTTCCGCTAAACCTTTTAAAAAATAAATTTTTGTATTTTATCAGGGTGCTGAGATTAAACAATTCCTATCTGGGAGAAGCAGAGTTTGATTGTCCGTTCGGATACAACCTGACAGGAACCATACATACATAGATAGATACAGTATACAACCTGACAGGAACCATACATACATAGATAGATACAGTATACAACCTGACAGGAACCATACATACATAGATAGATACAGGATACAACCTGACAGGAACCATACATACATAGATTGATACAGGTTAGAACCTGACATGAACCATACATACATAGATAGATACAGAATACAACCTGACAGAAACCATATAAACATAGATAAATACAGGATACAACCTGACAGAAACCATACATACATATAGATTGATACAGGATACAACCTGACAGGAACCATAGATACATAGATAGATACAGGATTCAACCTTGTAGGAACCATACATACATAGATGCAGGATACAACCTTATAGGTACCATACATACAAAGATACAGAATACAGCCTTACAGGAACCATACATATATAGATACAGGATACAACCTTACAGGAATCGGCCATACATTCATAGATACAGGATACAATCTTACAAAAACCATTTATACAAAGATACAGGATACAATCGTATAGGAACCATTTATACATCGATACATGATACAACCGTATCGGAACCATTTATACAAAGATACATGATACAACCGTATAGGAACTATTTATACATAGATACATGATACAACCGTATAGGAACCATTTATACATAGATACGGGATACAACCGTATAGGAACCATTTATACATTGATACAGAATACAACCTTACAGGGACCAAACATACAAAGATACAGGATGCAACCTTACAGGAACTTTACAGACATGGATACAGGGTATACACTTACAGGAAAATTGTATATATATATATACAGGAAACAACCATATTGGAACCATTCATACATAGGATACAACCGTATTTGAACCATTTGTACATAGATGCGGGATACAACCGTATAGGAACCATTTATACATTGAAACAGAATACAACCTTACAGGGACCAAACATGCAAAGATACAGGATACAACCTTTCAAGAACCATTTATACAAAGATACAGGATACAACCTTACAAGAACCATTTATACAAAGTTACAGGATACAACCTTACAGGAACCTTACAGACATAGATACAGGGTATATCCTTACAGGAAAATTGCATATATATATATATATATACAGGAAACAACCATATTGGAACCATTCATACATAGGATACAACCGTATTTGAACCATTTATATATAGATACAGGATACAACCTTATAGGAACCATTTATACATAGATACAGATTACAACCGTATAAGTAAATAGATACAGGATACAAACTTACAGGAACCATTTATGCATAGATACATGATACAACCTTACAGGAACCAAACATACAACGATCCAGGATACAACCTCAAAGATATCCTACTTTATCAAAGGATAAGTGCCTTTCCATTTTAAGAAAAACTCTATATTTATATGCATATTGCGGAATGTAAAATAGATAAAAATACACGTTATGTATATTTATGGTGAGTATCTGGTCAGAATATTTATACTATTTTCTACATTTTACCTAAGAAATATTAGTTTTAAAAATTCTAAATTTTACAATTTTCTTTTCTTTATGGTATTAATTCATAAGAAAAATAACGCTTTCTAGGCTAATAACATATATTTATTTTACAGGGTGTCCTAAAAACGCTATTTAGGTTAATCGGTATGTTTTTTTTATTAAGAGGTCTGTAGCACATAAATCGAGGAAGTTTACTATTTTGGCTTAGTTGCAAATATATATCAAGATTATATTAAAAGAAAAAGAAAAACGTTCCATTTCTGTATGTTTTATGAATTAATTAATTATGATTTAATGGAATAGAAATAAAAGGGATAATGGTCCTTCTTCTTACATATTTGTATCTACAATACATGTTCTTAGCTCTAATTCTTATATCCAGTATTGCTCTTTTGCAATATCGACATCAACTGCTGTACGTTCCCTTAACGTAGTCCTGTAAATGGAATAGTCCTGTTAAGTAGATGTAGTCCTGTAAACTGAATATAGTCCTGTATACTGAATATAGTCCTGTATACTAAATATAGTCCTGTAAACTGAATATAGTCCTGTATACTGAATATAGTCCTGTTTCGGAATGTAGTCTTGTATAATGAATGCAGTTCTGTATACTGAATGTAGTTCTGTATCTGAATGTAGTCCTGTATACTGAATGCAGTCCTGTATACTGAATATTGTCCTGTATACTAAATGTAGTCCTGTTAAGTAGATGTAGTCCTGTATACTGAATATAGTCCTGTATACTGAATATAGTCCTGTTTCGGAATGTAGTCTTGTATAATGAATGCAGTTCTGTATACTGAATGTAGTTCTGTATCTGAATGTAGTCCTGTATACTGAATGCAGTCCTGTATACTGAATATTGTCCTGTATACTAAATGTAGTCCTGTTAAGTAGATGTAGTCCTGTATACTGAATATAGTCCTGTATACTGAATATAGTCCTGTTTCGGAATGTAGTCTTGTATAATGAATGCAGTTCTGTATACTGAATGTAGTTCTGTATCTGAATGTAGTCCTGTATACTGAATGCAGTCCTGTATACTGAATATTGTCCTGTATACTAAATGTAGTCCTGTTAAGTAGATGTAGTCCTGTATACTGAATATAGTCCTGTATACTGAATATAGTCCTGTTTCGGAATGTAGTCTTGTATAATGAATGCAGTTCTGTATACTGAATGTAGTTCTGTATCTGAATGTAGTCCTGTATACTGAATGAAGTCCTGTATCTAATTTTAGTCCTGTATACTGAATGTAGTCCTGTATACTAAATGTAGTCCTGTATACTAAATGTAGTCCTGTATCTGAATGTATGGATGGACAGGGGACAAGATTATCTGGTGTAACCAGGAGAGTAAGTGGTCTGCTGGACTACCCAGTTGCCAAGGTTTATTCAAACATTTAAATGTAAAATTCTTCTTAAAATATTCAAAACTAGATTACTGGTCTCACGCAAGCTTTAATTATCAATGCTAAGTTTGAAAAAATTTAAGGTATTTATAAGTATAAGAAAGTTTTATTATTGATCTCCTGGAAAAAAAGATATCAAGCAACATAGAATTACAACAAATATTTATTTTTAAAACAGTTTTCCAACAAACAGAATGAATACCAATAAATTATTTAATATCCTAGCTATTGAATGTGGAGCTCCAATACCCCCTGAGAATGGTCAGATGATAGGATCTGGTATACTCCACAGTGAGCAGAACAGGAGGGTTGGTTCCGGTATTCTTCACAGTAGGCAGAACAGGAGGGACACAGAGGAGGGTTTATACTATGTTGGTTCTACAGTGCAAACTGTTTGCCACTCAGGATTCGTTCTGATTGGGGAGCCAATTATTAGGTATATATATTTAGTCTCTGAGGTTAGGGTCATCATCATCACCTAATAGTCTTCTCTTATAATTCGATTAAATTGCTTCTTGAATGGTCTTAAAACGATACCCATAAGTCGATCTGATTATAAAATTAGAAGAAATAAATCCAAAAAGAGGATTTTTAATTTTTTTATTTCTAGGTGTACTCAGCTTGGGCTTTGGTCTGATGCCACTCCTATTTGTAAGTATCTTTGTAGAGAATTGGTAACCCATATCCAGTATTGCTCTTTTGCAA